CAGGCAGTGGGAAGAGGTGTGTTAACTCTCTGGGGAGGTTCTAGGGAAGGTCTGTGTGAGAGCTGCGGAATGGAATGCTGCGCCGTGAGTGCGTCTGTGCACATGTTTGTGTGTCTTGCTGTGCTGTTTGTGGAGCTTGCAGACTGGGTCGTCGGGAAGCCAAGGATGAACACGGAGGCGATTGGGCAGAAATCTGGACACAGGGCCCGTCGATAGTTTGCAGATGTCAGTCCTCTACCGCATCCTGACGGGGGATGTCCCCCAGGGCGGGCGTCCCGAAGATGAGCAGGAGGAGAGCAGAGAATGTGAGGACTTCAGCCGCTGGAGCAGAGTGCCCATTTCTCAGCCGGGAAAGCCAGTGTCACTGGCTGCCCGTTCCAGGAGACTTGGGGCAGACTGCGGCCGCTGTGTGAGTTTTCGCAGCTACCTCCGCCTCGGCCCCTCACCGAATAATCAAGTTGTGGGTTCCAGAAATTTCAGAAGAAGCTGCTTCCGCAGACTGTTTGCCTCTGCCCGGTGCGGGAGGACTGGGGGCTTTTTCTTTCATTCTCGGCGAGATGGTGTGGTTATTTTAAGTAAGTGATGTGCCGTGGGGAAAATGGCAACTCTTTTTCATTTCTCAGCTTGATGAAAAAAAGAAAAGGGACGAGGAGAAACCCCAGGTAGCCCACTTTGTGCCTAATGCTTGTCTTTCTGGATTCTAAATGTGTCCCAAGACACCGAGATGGGATAAATATTTCAGCCACTAGAAAGTCCTGCTGTCGGGCTGGAGAGATTTCTCACCTCTTTTCAAACCGACAGCGTAGTGATTCACTTGCACAAACCCACACCCCTGTGCTCCTTATTTTTAACTGTATAGGTGTAGATTCCACTCCCCTTCTAGGGAGACAAGGCAGGGAGTAGATAGAACTTTCCAAGCAGGAGTCTGGGGATGGGGATAAGTAACTGCACGTTTGGTTTTCCTCTTAGAGTGACCACAGATGCTTACTGGGGACCACTGAGCACCAGATGTCAGGGATGTGGAACTGAGCCAAGGGCTGGCCCTCTGCCTTGGGGGTGTGCAGGCTGGTGGGGAGATGGCACAGATACATCGGTCAGCGCAGGTCGGGATAGAGGCAAACGAGTGCCAATATCAGACTGAGAAGTGGGAGCCACACTAGACTGGGTGTCAGCGCAGGGTCTCACCATACGTGACCTGAAGCTGAGGTCCGAAGGGTGAGTGAGACTAGCCAACTGTGTTAGTTTGCTGGGGCTGCTGTAACAAAGGACCGTGGATTGGATGGTTCAAATGAAATGTATTTTCTCCCGGTTCTGGAAGCGAGAAGTGTGAGATCCGAGTGTGAGCGGAGCTGGTTTCTTCGGAGCCTGTGTCCTTGGCTTGTAGGTGGCGGTCTTCTCCCTGTGTCCTCCCACATGGTCTTTCCTCAGTGCCAGGCTGTGCCCTCATCTCTTCGTGCACGGAGGCCAGTCGGATGGGGTGAGGGCCCACCCTCACGGCCTCACTTGAACTTAACCCCCTCTTTGAAGGCCCTGCCCCTGAGTTCAGTCACATTGTGAGGGACTGGGGGTTAGGGCGTCAACACAGGGATTTTGGGAAGATGCAGTTCATCCCTTAACACCCACAGCATCAGGGGGACGGCGGGTGGAAGAACCGGGGTTGGTGAGGAGCATGTGTGGGGGCCTCACTGCGGGGCAGGGTTTGTGTCCAGGAAGTGGTTGGAGATGACGCTGCAGAGGGAGGCCGGGGCTGGGTCACACTGGGCCTTGTCAACCATGGCAGGAGTTCTAGATGCTTGCGAGGGCACCCAGAAGCCATCAGCAGCCTGTTAAAACCCCCCTCCGCTGTGGAGGGAAGGAACTGGGGGCAGTGAGAAGTGAAAGTTGGCAGGTGGGTTTAAGCCAGGATTTCTCAGCTTTGGCCCTGTGGACATTTCAGGCTGGATGATGCTTTGCTGTGAGGGCCGGCCCTGTGCACTGCAGATGAGCAGAAGCGTTCATTCCACCAGACGCCACAACCAAAAATGCTCCCAGATTCTGCCCTGTGTCCTCTGGTGGGCAGAATTACCCCAGGTTGAGAACCGGGCTGGCAGCGTGGGTTGGCTGGTACCAGCTGAGTGAGGCACACTGGATAGGTTTGGGGAAGATTTTTGAGGGTAGAATCAATGAGATTTAGCCTCTCTTTGCCTTGGTTTCTCCTCTTGCTTTTGAGTTTGATGATACTGTCGTTTCCCTAAGGCACGAGGCCCTGTGCCCCCTGCTTGCATAATGGGGTTGCTCAGAAGAGCCTGAAGAATGTTCCTCTGTGTTGTCAGTCACCAGGCCCTGGGGATCCTGGTCCCGCCTGCGGAGCTCTGAGCCCTGTGGCTGGCAGGGCCACCTGCCTGTGACAGATGTGGTATTTAAGTCTCTGCATCACACCCTCTCATTTGTCAGGTCTGTGGGCCGCCAGCCTGTTGACTCTCCAAGCAAGCACTTTGGAATCTAATCTGGCCAATTCTCTGCCTCCGGAAATCTGTTTATCAGAACAAGATTTCACAGTTGCAGTGACTTTTCAGGGAGCTTGCCTTCGAGGAGCTAGTGCTACAAACGCAAGCGTAGGTGATTTCCTAATAAAACAGCATGACAGTTATGTTCTGGGGCCCTGAAGAACTCCCTGCGCACTGGTGGGGCTCCGAGCAGCTGCGTGGAAGCAGCTGGAATGTGTGGGATTTTCTGGGCTGTGCATTCCTTGTCTGGCCAGGATCTGGCACCTGGCCGTCCCTCAAGGCTTCTGCCCTGTGACTTCCCCTCTGCCCTCTAGAGCCCTCGCCTGGAGGTGGCGAATTGGTTTCGTGTTCTTCTCAGGGCGGGTGGTGGTGTTTAAGGAGTCCAGTCTCGAGAGGGGTTTCGACATCGGGTGTGGGCTCAGTGGACGCAGTGCTGTGATTATGATGTCTGGCTGGCTGGCTGGTGGAACAGGGGACATAGTGGCACAGTATGTTTGCAGTTCCTGACAACCACGGCTCATTTTTTGTTCCCTGCCCTTGAGTGTGCTGGGTCGGGCTTTCTTGCACTGTTTTGCTGTCTCGCTCTAAGCCTGAAGGGCTCTGAACGTTCCATCTCTGTATCCATCAGTGTCCACTACAAATGCCACCTCGTTCCTTGAACCTTTCCTTGTTGCCTTGAATTTTGACTTCAGAACAGTGGGGAACTATTCAATGGCCTTTTTAAAGTGAGGAAGGGTCCTGATTGATTTGCTCTTTCGAAAAGTCCCTCTGGCCACAGAGAGGGATGTGAGGGGTGGCAGGGCGGTCAGGCTTGGGAGACTGTGGTAGGAGCCCTGGTAAGCAGCGGTGGTGACCTAGGCTGGACTCAGGGCTGTGGCTGTGGAGACTGGGGTGCTGCACTTGGTGCTTGGCCATCTGTAGGGGGCGACTGAGTGAGGAGGGGACATGGAGGGTTGTTAGGGTTCTGGTGCGGGCAGTTGGGGCAGGGTGAGGCCCCTCACTGTAGCTGCTGTTGTAGAAGTCTTCAGTGGGCTTTGCAAGCTCATTTTCAGTAGTGAGACGTGCATGCCCATGATTAATCCAGCCCCGTGGGGCAGCTGGCCTACAGCAGTATCCACAGCACCGGGGCTGATGTGGTACTGCTTGTTGCCTGCTCGTCCCAGTCCGACACGTTGAGTGTTGCCCCAGTAAGCACCACAGTCACACGGAAGAGTAAGTGCTCGTCTCTGCCTGGAGAGATCAGGGACACTTCAGAGGGAGAGTCACACAGACGCTGTATGCTACCAGCTGCTGACAGGGATTTGTGAGGAGACCCCATGGGCCGAGAACATTCCAGGTAAAAATAATAGCACGTGTGGAGAACAGTGGCGTGAAGGATGTGGTGGCAGGGGCCTGGAATGAGATGCTTCTCGTTGGCAAAGCTTGTGAACGAGGATCGTGAGCTCCCTCTGCTCCCGCTACCTGCAGGGGGGTCTGGGCGCCCCTGTTCGTCCATGGCGGCCAGACCGTCAGGATGCCGTGTGCCTTTCCAGCCCTGGTTTGCATCTTTGCGTTTTCAGGACCTAGCACGAATGTCTGGTCACAGATGTTCAGTAAATGCTCGTTGATGACTCAGGAGGGAGCCCTGGAAGGTTTGGTCTTTTTTCTTCTTTTACCGTGAGACTGTTTTACTTCCAGATGGATCCTTATCCCCTAGCCATCCATCACAGTGATCAGATTGATTAGATTCCGGCTTCCTGGAAAGTCTGCCCCCGAGAGTCCATTGGTGGATGCATTCAGCACCCTGCCCCCATGCCCTGTTTGCTCCCTAGCCCAAGAGCACCCATGGGTGAGGCCTTGGCGTTTTGTGACTCTGTTCAATGGGGTTGTGTCCAGACCTTGGGGCCGGTTCAACATCAACAACTCTTGGCAGGCAGTCCAGTGGCCTTGGGGGTGAGAGGTCTTAGTTCAAGTTTCAGTTTGGCTTTTCCCCCTCATGTGACCTCAGGCAGATTGAGATTTTGGGCTTGGGCTCCCATTTGCTAAAGTGAAATTATCTGCCAGTATTCTTGTCAACTGGGCCAAGGTTCAAAGGTTCTGTGATTGTAGGACCACAGAGTCCGAGGCCTGGCGGGCACGCACAGCTCCTGTTTTGGGAGCCTTTGGGAGGCCAGTGCTCACTGCTGTCCAGGAACCTTCATTCTCCCCGCCACTGGCCTGGAGAGACGTTGGACTTTTACAGCCCATCTTCTTGACGGAGAAAGAAGAAAAGTCAGTGAGCACGTAATGTGTGTCAGACACCTGCGCCGTACTTCTCGGTGTTTCTCCATTTAGTCCTCCCAGAATCCCCAGTGGTAGGGCAGAGAAGACTATCAGTCCATTTCACAGATGAGGAAACTGAGACCCAGAGAGGTCAAGTCACCTACCTGGGGCCTTACCTGTACAACCCGTGCCAGACAAGAGCGCTTCCAGTTGGGGGCTCGGGTCCTTGCCGTATTTGTCAGGCCTCTGATATCCATGTCCCCCCTCCAACAGACAGCCAGCTGCTCCCCGGGAACAACTTCACCAACGAGTGCAACATTCCGGGCAACTTCATGTGCAGCAACGGGCGGTGCATCCCGGGCGCCTGGCAGTGTGACGGGCTGCCCGACTGCTTCGACAAGAGCGATGAGAAGGAGTGCCGTGAGTGCCCGGCCCTGCTGGGGTGGGGGTCAGGGTTGGGGGTCCCGAGGCAGAGGAGCAGGTCCTGATCTGGTTAGACCCTGGGCATTCGGCTTGCTGTCCTTGTCCACACTGTAGTTCTGCCTCAGAAGAGCGTGGTCTGGGCAGCCTGGTCTGGGCAGTGGAGCCACAGCTCTGGGCGGGCAGAGGTCCCCTCCCCCAAGCTCTCCCAGCTCCCACCCTGGGGCCTGTGATTGCCTTATTTTACGCACGAGGAATCTGAGACCTGGAAGTTATGTAGCTTCAGTATCTACCAGCCAGCAGGCAGCTGACCTGGATTTGAACCCAGAGTTGCCTGACCCCAAGGCCCAGGCTGATAACCATCTTGCACATCTCGTACATCATGGAGCGTTCTTGACAGTTAAGTGAGGTGTAGCACTGTGGCAAGTATCCAGCAGCAGGGAGCTGGTACTGACAAGATCGTCCTTTGCTTCCACATGCCCTTTCCTCTGCCAAAAAGGCCTGGGCATCATCTTCAAATGGGCGCCACCAGGGCCTTGGAGTGTCTCTCTGATCCTCCTCACCCACCTCCTTCAGCCTCTTACCCATTTCATGCCCTGAAATATACGTGAGATTTGGGTGGGGGGTAATCCGTGAGAAAGGAGGCAGCTGGGATGTGAGTGGAGGGTCGTCCAGGGTGTCTAGTGATCATGCCCCCTGCCCTGGAGAGGTAGGTGAGTTCCTCTTCCTCCCAGAGTGTGGCGCTGCAGAGGGAGCCCCGCTCAGCACCCCAGAGGCCGGAAGCACACCCAGGAGTGCTGGCCCCTGGTTAGTCTAGCAGGGGGGTCTGCACAGTGGGACAGCGATTCTTGGGTCTTTCCCCACCTTCAGGCAGCAGGCCTCTCTGACAGGAAAGTGTGTGTCTGACTCTGAACTTGTTGTCTCTCTGGAAGCCAGCTGAGGAAATGTCTGGGGCAGGACCAGTCATTTGAACTTTTAACATAGCTGGTACCTGGATTTGAGGCCAAGTCTGCTGACCCACAGGAAGAAGCGCTTTGTTTGGCATCCACCTCTGGAGCCAGTCAGCAACCAGCGCCACCCGCCCCTCGACCCCCACCCGGTGATGTGTGTCCTCAGGCGAGCAGCCCGCTCCGAGACTGGCCCTCGCCTGGACAGGGGTCCAGTACTGCTGCTGCCTGCCTTCCCTGCCCTGCAGGGGGGTTTTTGGAGGGTGGGTGGGCAGCGTCTTCTTTAGTGGGGAGTATTTCATTTTGGTTGTTGCGCATGATTTTTCTCTGAATAGCCCACTATACATATTGTACTTTTATTTTTGCAGTTTTTAAAAAAGTATTGTCTCTCTCAGCCTCTTGTGTTTCTAGCGTGGCTTCAACATTGCTAAAAATGTAACATTTGTCATCTGAGTTTCCAGTGACATAACGTGTAAACTCCATGATCTGTCAGCTTCGAGCATTAGTAACACTGTACAGATGTGTGGAATGGCCACTTTTAGGATGTGGTGTGTCCTTGAATCTCCAGTAATTGCGAAATGTCCTGGGCTGAGGGGGATTATTCAGCGCAGGATAAGTTTGTGGAAGAATGTAGGGCTGGGAGCTGAGACCTAAGGTCTGTTCCCAGCTTTGTCAGTAGCAGCTGTGTGGTATCAGCGTCCTCTGTGACGTTCGGTGTCCCATGTCAGCCCAGTGCCATGACTACAGAATCCACGCGCAGACTGGAAGACAAGGTAGAAAGAGACCATGGAGGAAAAAGATGGCGCGGGCAGCTGCCTGGCACTGTTTGGTTTGGTTTGGAACAGGCTCGTCTTGGCTGTTCTCCATCCTTCTATCCTCATTTCCTATCCTTAACCCCCAAGTGGAGACTTGATTGACATTTATTTAGTCTTTTGATCAAAACATAATTTAACAAACCATACACATAAACACATGCATTAAATAAAACCCTCTCCTTTGTTACTTTTTTCTCCTTTTTTTGCCTTTAAATAAAAACAGAAGAACACTAGAAAGTTTAGACAATAGACAGAAAGAAAAGAAGTCCTTTTCTAAAACAAATTCAACTTGCATTTTAAATTTCTGACATATGGCCTTCCAGCCTAGGTGTTGAGGGTGCGAGCGCTGAAGATACAATGCGTCCGGATCCCAGGCCATCCTCCCCCCTCGCCCAGATGCCCTGTGGTCTTCGGGAAGTTACCCGAATGGTCTAAATCTTGGCCATTGGGAGGATTAAGTGAGAGTTCCTAGTGCTTCTATTCCCTCCTCTCCAAAACGAGCACAATAAGGCTTTTAATAAGCATTGTTGTGAAGTTTGAATGCATGTTAAGCACACAGCATAAGGCCTGGTAAACATCAACTGTTAACTGGTCAGCCTGCACAAACTGTTTAAGCTGGTCGTCGTCATGGAAACATGTGATTGAGCAACTTTTATTTTTCTTCTTCTTCGCATTGGAGGCCCTTTGCCACATTACCATATTTAGCATTCGCAATTGTTGTTTGGTGAGGTTGCCTACTATTCCCCCCGAGTAGATGTACTGTAGCCTAACCATTCTGCTATTCTTGGCGGTTTAATTCTCTTTCATTTTTTTTTTTACTTCTGCTGATCAAATGGCTGAGGGTCAGTTAAGGAATTTATACATACCCAGAGGACAGAGCCAGGAGGGGCTGAGCTGAGGTCTCCAGGGTAACCGGCTGGCCTCTTCAGAATTTGTGTCGCTTCCCCCCATGTCTTGCTCAGAAGTTGCAAGGCCCTTTCTCTGATGCTTTGGAGTAACTCGGTACTTAAGGAGAGGAGAGCGAAGGCGGCTGCTAGTCTCACCACAGAGAGGTGATTACCTCGAGTTCCTTACGAAGTAGCTTTGGCCTTTACAAGATGATATGCTTCAACAAGGAGAGTTCCTGCCCTCCTGAAAGGCAGAAGAGCCCAGAGCAGGTGCCGTGGTGGGACAGGAGGCAGCGGGCAGCTCTTCTGTGCACACAGCAGAGGAACAGTTTCCATAAGACAGGGAGGGACGCTTCTTTATCATAAAGGTACTAAAATTGTGTATTGTGCAAAATGGGGAAGGGGGGCATAGAACCAGCGGGATCACACACACGCACACAGCTAGTGCTCTAATGGAACCGCGGTTAATGAGCATCTCCAAAGTTTCCATCCGGGCTTTTCCCAGTTGCCACCAAGGATAGGCATTATTATATTTCAATTTCTTTCCAGGCAATGTTTCAGCATTTTAATATCTTTATGTATTTTTTCTGTATCATTTTTAATTCTTAGATGAATAGTCCGTTCACTTGGTATAATGTTTATTTACTCATTACTCAGCATTTATGTTGTTTCTAGTTTTCCACGATTAGAAATGGTGTTCACTGTTCTGAACATGAGGGTGGATGTGACTTTCCCTCTGTTTTGAGAAATTTTCTTAATCTAGATTCTCAGAAGTGAAAGGACTGGGTCGAAGGACAGAAGCTCTTTCTGGCCCTTGATTCAGACTGCCCACTGTCCTGCTTAAGGCTGGCACCAGCTCGGTCTTCACTGGCATCGTGAGAATTCCGGCTTTATTAGTCTTGGCAGGGTTCGGCAGTATCTTAAAAAATATTTTTATGGTTCATTTAATAGATGAAAACAGATATATATTTTAATTTTTATTTTTATTATCTAAAGAAATTGAATGTTTCCCTGTACCTCTATTTACTATTTATATTTCCACCTTTGTGCAGTACCTATTAATGCACTAGAATAAATTTCCATCTGCGTTGAGTCATTAAATTTTCCACCTCATGAATCTGGAGAACCTCCCTTCATAGAGTTTTGAGAGAAGACGCTCTTTTTGGGAAAGTTTGAGTGTACTTCTGTTCTTGGTTAGTGAAATGCCCTAAATAATCACTTTATCTAAATAATTTTATTTTTTTTTTGGTAATAACAGGACTAGAGATATGTTTCAGAAAAGCAGGGACGCTCCGTGCTCCATGAGAGCACTCTGTGGCACTGTGCCCTGACTGGAGTGGAGCTTCCTCTGGGCTGCACGTTGAGTCATGTTTATAACTCATTCGCTTGTCGCAAGCCTTACGAGGAAGGGACTGTCATTATCCCCAGACGAGGAAACGGGGCCACAGAGAGATTGGCAGAGCTCCCTCAGAGGAGGGACCCCAGTGGGGTCCCGCCGTCTCCCTCTGCACGTGGGTTGCTGTCACTCTACTGAATGAGGGTCTCCTCTGTTACCACGCTGCTTTTGAAAAATTTAGAAACGTCGATAATGTTTTTCTGCGTAAATGATTTCTGAAATGCTGGTTAGCCCTGTGAGTCTGTGAAGGAGGAGACCGCACTTCTGTGACTGCCGCTGCTGTGATGATAATGCAGCGGTCGAATGCCAGGACCTCAAAATCTGCCTCCAGCTCTGTGTTGGACTGTAGCTGCCCCCTCTCTTGTGTCCTGACCAAATGGGGGCGAGATTGTGGAGGTTTGAGATCCACAGTTCTTTTTTTTTTTCTAGGAAAAATCATATTGATCCTATCTTTGATCAGGCACGGACAGACTTTTAAACCTCCGGCCCTTTTGTTTGTGTGGGTGGGGTGGAGGGGCATGAGAGGAGATGGGGAAGGATTCAAGGATTTTTGTCAAATGGTGAAATTTTAATACATCTCTAAGTTCAGAAACACTGAAAAATAGGGGCAAAAATGGAATTTAAACTTTATTTGCTTTTACTGTCCCCAGCTACTACTTGAGCATGACTTTTAAGTGCTCTGGTGTGATGGCAGAAATCCATGAGCTGGGGTTGAGAGGGTGACTTGGGAATCATGGTCACCAAGAAGCGTTGGAGAGGAGGAAAGCGGGGGCAGAAATGCCTCCTCTTTTCTTTTCATCCTCCCTCTCATCTTCTGCCTCTAGGTGGCGCCACATGTAATGTTTTCTTTTGAATGTGGTGCCACAGGGCTCACAGAGCTGTTAATGGAATTCTCTTTAGCTTTGAGCTCCAGGGAGGCAGCCAGACACCAAAGCTGGTGCAGAAGGGAAGGAAA